ATAATTCTAATCTAATAAGAAAATTATTTATTGTTATTTAATACATTATTTAATATAAATAAACAAGTGCTAAAAATTTATAATTAATTCAACCTTTAAATTTACATACAATTTACAAATAAATTTACATACAATATTTTCATCAAACTATTGATTGGTTAAATGAATTATTTTGCTCATTTCATTTCTTTATAATTTATTTATATTACTTCTCACTTTTTTTTAATCTATTTTCTACTAGTTCCTCTGTTGTACCTTGTGTAGATTGGTTATATATACATGTTTTTTATATATGGGTGTTATCTATATGTGTGTGTGTGCGCGCACACACACACACGTGCGTCTCGTGCTTCAATATATATATATATATATGTTACAAAATGAAAAAATTTAAAGAATAAACGTTCGATATATGACAATGATGAGATTTTGGTTAGAATATTCGTATTCTTACATTTATATTCCCATAAAAAATCTAATCAATCCATTGCTAAAATAACTAAGTTGGGTTTAGGAATTGTCATTTATAGATGAATGGATGAAATCACAGTGTTCCTGATTTTAATATTCATTTGTAGATGGATATTCCTGAATGTCGACAGTGGATGTATGATAGGGTTCATCCTGGAAGAAGGGGATTAAAAAAAGAATTTGTAGACAGTTTGGATATATTTATTAATTATGCTTGCCAACAAGCATGTTATTTGAACGAGGGGTTAATTAGATGTCCTTGTTGTATATGCAAGTGTACAAAGTGGTTAGAGCCCGATACAGTGAAAGTACATATTTGTAAGAAGGGTTTTATGACAGGGTACTGGTATTGGACTCATCATGAAAAAGCGGAGCCTGATGTAAATGTAAGTAGGGCTCATGGCAATGTCGGTTCTTCAAGTATGTTGCTACTTTTAATGATCATTAACAAAATTTAAGTAGGTATCATGAAATGGTATATGATGCTGTGGGCCCTGAGTATCATGCTGGCTTTCAACATAGAATGGAAAGAGGCTCCTAATGTTGAGACTCAGAAATTTTTTGATTTATTACATGCAGCAAATGAACCATTATGGCCAGGATCTCATCATTCTAAATTATCTGTTGCAACTAGAGTAATGAGTATCAAATCTGATTGGAACGTTACTCAACAATGTATTGATTCAATGGTGGAATTGATGCGTGAGACAAATCCTTGTAAGAATATAAGGATACTTGATAGCTATTATGAAGCTAAAAAATCAGTATCAAAATTGGGACTTCAGGCTTTAAAAATTGATTGTTGTGATAATGGGTGTATGTTGTATTACAATAATGATGCAAATGAGCAGTTTTGTAAATTTTGTAATCGTGCAAGATATCGGCCACGTAGGGTGGGAAAAGGAAATTATAAAAATGTGGCTGTTAAAACGATGCATTATTTGTCACTTATTTATAGATTGCAAAGACTTTATGCATCTATGAATTCTGCCTCGCATATGAGATGGCATTATGAAAATAGGCGACCACCGGGTATTTTGAGTCACCCATCAGATGGAGAAGCATGGAAACACTTTGATAGAATATATCCCGATTTTGCAAATGAGCCTCGAAATATGAAACTTGGTTTGTGTGCAGATGGATTCACGCCATTTACGCAGTCATCTAGACCATATTCTTGTTGGCTGGTAGTTGTTACACCTTATAATCTTCCACCTGAAATGTGTATGACCAAACCGTACATGTTTTTAACATGTATCATTCCCGATCCAAAGAATCCCAAAAGTGGAATTGATATTTATTTACAGTCTTTAATTGATGAGTTGAAGGTATTGTGGGATATTGGTGTGTTGACTTATGATATATCAACTAAACAAAATTTTATGCTACGTGCAGCTGTCATGTGGACAATTAATGATTTTCCGGCATATGGAATGTTGTCTGGGTGGATGACTCAAGGTAAATTGGCATGTCCTTATTGTATGGAGAGAACTAAATCTTTTACTTTAAAATATGATGGTAAAAATTCATGGTTTGATTGTCATCGTCAGTTTTTATCATATGATCATGCATTTAGAAGAAATAAGAAAGATTTTATAAAAGGTAAAGTTGAGACTGACGAGCCGCCTGCAAAATTGTCTACTGCACAACTGTGGAACATGGTTAGTTCTTTTCCAAAAGTCACTGATGTAGGTCATATCAAATTATCGGGATACGGAGTGAATCATAATTAGACTAAACAGAGTATATTTTGGGAACTTCCGTATTGGAAAGATCTTTTATTACAACATAATCTTGATGTTATACACATAGAGAAAAATGTCTTTGATAATGTGTTCAATACAATGATAGATGTTAATGGTAAAACAAAGGATAATATCAAAGCACGAATGAATTTGGCATATATTTGCAAGCGGAGAGATCTGGAGCTTGTTCCTTTGGCTAATGGAAAATTTGCTAAACCAAAGGCTAATTACACCCTCACTCCTGATGAGAGAAAAATTGTGTGTAAATGGTTAAAGAACTAAAGATGCTAGATGGTTATTCTTCTAATTTGGGTAGATGTTTTGATGATCAAACTAGTAAGATTCACGGTATGAAGAGCCATGATTGTCATGTATTTATGGAATGTCTTCTTCCTATTGCATTCAACTCATTACCTGATCATGTGTGGAAACCTTTGACCGAATTGAGTCAATTTTTCAAAGATTTGTGCTCTACTATCCTCAAAGATGAGAATTTGTTTAGATTAGAGCAAAATATTCCCATAATTTGTGTAAACTCGAAAGATGTTTTCCCACCGGAATTTTTTTTATTCAATGGAGCATCTTCCTGTACACCTTCCGCATGAAGCTAGAATGGGAGGACCAGTCTATTACAGATGGATGTACCCTTTTGAAAGGTAACTTCAAGTCATAATTTTCATAAATTTTATTTTATTTTTTAAGTTTCATTATATTGAACAGAATTATCATTGAATAGGGGAATGGGAGATTTTAAGAGATCAGTCAAGAATAAAGCACGGGTAGAAGGATCAATATGTGCGGCATACCTAACTCGAGAGACGTGTCATTTTAGTTCATATTATTTTGACACATTTGTAATGTCGTTGAGGAGTAGAGTTTGTCGAAATGATGAAGGAACAAGTGACATAAGAGCTCCAAGTATTTCAATTTTTAATCAGCATGGTCGCATTTCTGGAGTTTGTAAAGAAAGATATTTATCTGAAGAAGAATTGAAATCAGCAACTTTACATATTTTGATTAATTGTCCAGAAGTTCAACCATTTCTCAAGTAAGTATAATAAAGTTTTATATTTTATATTAGATTGAGTTAATTGTACTGATAGTAGTATTTTTTTTGAATTGTAGTCTGTTTTTATCATACTATAGTACAATAGAAGAAGATGCTAACACGAGAATCCAAGAAGAATTTGCCGAATGGTTTAAGGCTTATGTAAGTGTATTAATCGTTCAAATTCAATATGATTACATGAAAAATGTATTAATCCATTAAATAATTGTTAACTTTTTTTAAATAGGTGCATAATCCTCATAATTGTATCAATAATCAATTTTTGCACGAGTTAGCATGGGGGCCAAACATAAGGGTGAGATCATGTCATAAGTATTTTGTTAATGGGTATAAATTTCACACAGAAGAGTGGTCTCATGGGAAAAAAACCATAAATAGTGAGGTGTGTGTGAAAGGTGTTGGTGGTGATGTGGAAGATGATTATTATGATGTTCTTCAAGAAGTAGTAGAATTGGAGTATCCGGAAGAACCAATAAAAAAAGTTGTATTGTTTCGATGTAAATGGTTTGATTTAAGAAGGCCTCGAGGTACAAGAGTTCATCCCAATATAATATAGTTGAGGTGAATTGTACTAGACAATACCCTTGATATGATCCTTTTATCATTACTCAGAATGTTAGACAAGTGTATTATATTCCTTATCTTTCAATTCGAAGAGACAAGACTCATTGGTGGGTGGTTATGAAAACAAGACCAAGTGGTCGCATAGATTTAGACAATTTAAGTGTAGCAGAAGTTTATCAAGGAGAAGAAATGTCTGTTGGCAATCTAATAATTGATTTGGAACTAATAACTGGATTACGAGATGAGCAAGGACGTTATGAAGAGATAGATTCAAACGATATGGGACAAGAAAAAAAAGTTAACTTTGAGGAGGAAGAAGACGAAGATGATGAGAAGATAGAATTTGATGATGAAGAAGAGACAGAACCATCACTGGAGTATGAAGAAAATGATTCAGATTCTGACTAAAAATTTGCACTGTGATTTTGTAAGTGTATACAATATTTTTAGTAAATTTTGTTATAAAAAGTTGTTGTGTAGATTAAATTTTATTCAAAATTTAACTTTGTATTAAATCTTTAATAATGATTGAATATGTACAAGTGTGTATAATATTTAATAAGAATTTTTGTTACTATTAAAATTCAACTTTTTATTATATGGTCAATGATTAAATATGTGTAAGTGTATATAACATTGATGAGTTGAAAGTTATTATTATTAATAATTTACATATTATAAGATGTAAATTGATATGTTTTATTGTTAATAATATATTTGGTTTGTATATTATTTAATGTTTTTCATTTTATTTTATGATTGTTAAATTTGTATTAATTTTTATTTTTATTTCATGCAAATGTCTTCAGGTGATAAGAGGGATAAGGGAAAGGCTGTTAGTATATTTGGGTCTAAAACTAAGAAGAAGCATAGATTCTCGCCTTATATGACGGGGTCATTACCGCCTCTCACGATCCGATCACCACCACCACCACCACCACCACCTACAGTTTAGTATGACTATGGTCATACTCATTCTCATGCCCAACCTTCACCTCAATTTATGCCAACACCTAGATATAGGACCCCTTCTCCATCGATGCCGGCACCCACATCTTCTCATTTGTCTGAGTCATTTGAGTCCGAATCTGATAGGTCTTCTATTCCACCTAATGAGGGCAATTTTTTGTAGTGTATGATATAATTTTCAGCTAGCTGGGATCTTCAAGAATGTGGTAGCCACAGACACCAGTCAAGGCCAACTAGACTTCGCACCCAAGCTCCCAAATGTGCGATACCAACGTACCCCACCTAATATGTCCACTGCTGAACTCGAGCAACAAGTATCAGATCAAAGTGGAGTCGACTTGGTGACTGTGGCCCAAGCCATGCATTGGTTTGATCTTCCTTCCTTTTACAGAGAGGTAAAGTGTAACTTCATTAAAATATTGCAGAATTTTATGAATAAATATAAATAAAGTGAATTAAATTATTATATTATATTAATTTGTGAGAAAAGATTGCAACACTCTCCGTATTTTAGTTAGGTTATATAAAATCCTCTTCTAATATGGGAATGATTATATTATTACTGAGGTAAAATTTATTATATTTTATTATTCTGGATGCTAGAATCTCTGTTAGTTCATTTTTGTTGTAATCTAAATGCACATGTCTTCCACTTTAAATGAAAATGATTATAAATTTGTTTTCATTTAATTTAGTTGAAGGTGAAAAGTAATCCTTTTATTAAAAATAATACCTTCCATTACATATATTCATTCTTTTATAATAAACTTAGTTATCTATAAATTCATTTTTCTGATATTGAGAGTTTATCGCGTATCTATAAATTCTTTCTTTCTTTCTTTGTTTTTAGTATACTTTATTTTTTCTAACAAATTATTTAATAATCTTTCTTTTTTTATTTCTTTTGATCCTTAAATTCTTTCTTTTTTTATATAAATTAGCATTATTTTTCATATGTTTAGTTAAATCATTGTCTGAATTATTACAATTTAATATAACAAGTATTTAGAGAATCTCAGAAATAAAAGAAAACACGGGTTTTACATTTTTAAGCCATTAATTTGTTGTTTTTTTAACAAATTTACGTTGTAATAGGTGAGATATGTTCTTAAGAAGCCAGACGGAGTGATTGCGGCTTGGTGCTACGCCACACCCGAAATCAGTGACTAGGTCGACTCCATATTGAACCGAGTTTACTTCGGGGACTCGAGGTCTTACTGGAGCTCAGGCAGGAACCTAATAGTGGACCGGTACCGAAGCATTGATTTCCCGTTTGAGCCGGCGGACGGCTGTGATCACATGGGGCCGTTTGAGTTCAAAGCTGAGCGGCTGATGGATTTAGAGGACTATCTTGCCTACACCAGGTCAGGATCAGCCTATCAGACGGCTCGTGATAAGGGTGTTGAGCTCTTGACTGATGATGTGGTGGAGGAATTTAAGCAAGCTTGGGGTGATGGTGGGAATTGCCAAAGATCATCAAGTTTCCGGTCTATCTGAGAATTGGGAAAGTGGGAAATCTAAATTAATAAATAATTTAACATGACTTGTAAGTTTATTGTGAGCTACGGCTCAATGCACGAGGGAGACACAGCGTCAATGGTTATTTTTCAATAAATTTTACGTTAAAATGGGAAATATATATAATAAACTAGTTAGAATTATTAAATTTTGGCCCTTCAAGCTTTTTCTTTGCTTCTGTTTTTGCCCTTGAACGGAACTGGCTCTTTCCGCTCTAATTAACGGCTCAAGTTAGATGAAATTACGAAGAAACCCCTCTACACTGTGACGTACAAATAGTTCCAACTCCCGTACTACTTCAAACGTGTTATTTATGGGTCAATATAAGTTAGATCGTTTGCACAATCGCTAGTGTATTCTATTTTAGATATAAATTTAATTAGAAATTTAAAATTAAAATTTAATTAAAATATTTGATAAATTATATCTAATAATAAATATCTATAATTTTAAAAAAATAAATTAAATAAAAAATTAAGAAATCTAATTTATTAAAAATTCGAATATGAATTTTAATAATATTTTTTAATTAAATTAATAATATTATATACATGATATTAATACATTCAAACTTATAGGAGTGAAATTGAGAAAATTAGAAAATTTAAAAAATAATATAATTAATAAAATAGAGTTGATAGATCTAAACGTAAAAGATGATTACTTTTTTTGTCAAATTAAATTTTTTTTATCGAATTTTGAATTATTTATATATAATTTAATAAATATAAATTTTATAGTATTTCGGATCAGATTTGAACATAGTAATAATTAATCAAATTCGAATTTGGATATACTTAATTTTATTTAAATTCGACGCATTGACAACACCAATCGTTTATGAGCTTTCTTGGCATGATTCATTTTGATTTAACTTGATTCGGCTAATTTACCTAATTACCAAATCAGTTGAAATCCACTCCCAAACCAACTGGGACCTGATGAAGTCAATTAATAATTTTGTGGTAGCCAACCATTTCTTCATGTGTGCCCTAAAATTCTGTTAGGGAATATTTAAATATAGAAAATACTCAAAACTATTTTATGGTAGAGGTATTAAAAGTAATAACTTAAAAATAAAAAAATTTAAAAACTTGTTTGGTCGAATTGAATTTTTTTTTTCTTTTGCTTAAAAAAGTCTGAATCCTAATCTCTGTCTTCTCCCTCTCTCCTGACCACACTGTTGCCATTACAGTCATAATAATCACATTAAACCCTACCCCAACTCTACCTATATTCTTGATTGAAGTTATTGGTAATGAAATTAATCTCGAAACTATAATTTTTTTCTTTATAGTAACTATAAAGAGGTGGAACGTTAGACATAAAAGGGGCAACGGTGGTTGCAAAGTGACAACGATGACAATCTTTCAAAAATGTTTTTTGAAATTAAGTCTCCAAGAGCATTTTTTGCCTACATTCTGTTTCTCAAAAATAAAAACTGTTTTCAACAATATATCTATAAACACCTTAAATTTCAACATTTTGAAAATACCCACCAAAATAGTCAAGAACCCGTGTATCCTTGCATTTCAGAAAATTTAACAAATACAAGATCAACATAATAGAGACTTTTATTTTCTGACAACAAGGGTGAAAAAGTATTAACATCATCATTTCATCATAGAAACAGCATACACTAAATGATTTGAATTTTGAAGGCAAGCATCGTCAAAATCTACTGTCGTACTTTACAAAATGATCAACCAATTCAAACCAGAATTAGGTTGACTTCAAATGCACGAGTTATAGTCCACCCCATCACAACTTGCATCAAGTTTGAGTGTTTTTGCAAAGTAGCACACATAAAAAAAATAAATAACTAAATTTAGCTCTACTCATATGCATCAGTGCTCTTTGAAGGCCTAGGATTAATTGGAAAAGTTCTTAATGAAAGACTAAAGCCAGAATATATTGCTCATGGAGAGCAAAGGAATTCATTTGTTCTTGTTAAAAAACATACATAGAGCTATGGTTTTTGGACCACACCACTAAAGTCCTGAAACCCTGTGACCGTGAACCCCAACCTCCTGCCTCGCTTTAGTATTTGTCTGCAACTAGAATGTACTGAATATTTTGGGCATTGTGAGGGAATACAATATAAAGGCTAGTTATTGTGTGAAGAAAACAGACAGAAGGAACTTACTTTTTTTGCAGCAAATGCCAATGCATTAGGCTTGTTTGGTTGGCCTGCTTTCTATTTTCATTTTCAGTAAAAACAGAAAACAGAGTTGAAAATGTGTTGGGTATTCCATTTTTATTTTCATGTTTAGAAAATGTTTTCCAAATTTAGGTGAAAAAGAGAAAATGATAGAAAGTTTTTTTTTCCGCGTTTTAATCTAAAACTGAAAATACGGTGACAATTTTGTAACAAAGTTGATTTTTGGTGTTTCTCTCGTAACCATCATATTTGTGCTACTATTCTACACAACCGTGCTTGCCAACAAACAGAGCTATGAATAGAGCTCGTCGCCCGTTTGGTGATCAAGGCACGATGTCATCCAGTGGCTGTTGCAAGCAATGGGAGTCAATTTTGTGAATAGAGTATGATCTTCATCTACCATTGTTGCAAAATTATTGGCCTTTAGATCTATGAATGGAGCATGATCTTCATCTACTATTGTTTTTCGGGCGTCGTTTGTTGTCTGTCGTCCTTCGGCCATCATCTATCATCTATTTGCGAATTATCGATCGAAACTGCATAAACCAATTGGAAATGGCTGAAACTTTCTCATTTTTCTTCCTTAACTTTATAAAATTTTAGCATTTGGGAGATCATGAGTCCAAATTAGTTTAGGATTTTTATTATTCAGAGTACATGATATAGAATACAAGCAAAAATTTCGTGAAAAATAGTTGATTAGACATTATATAAAGTCGAGTTGTGATCGTAATCCACTATAAGGTAGGGGATGATGCTTTTTGTAATTTTTTATATCTTTTCAGTCTCTGATCTCCTTCTCATTATTCAATCCTATTCTTAAACTCTTTAGGTCTCGATTTAAACTTTAGAAGTTTTGATTTCTTCACTTAAACCCTTTCTAATAACCCTAAAAGTCCGATTTTTTTTTTCAATTGAGTTCTCATTTTTAATTTATTGAAAATGGATAAATCAAACGCATTTTCATTATTTTTATTTTTGAAAAAAAAATAAAAAATAGTAAACCAAACCAAACGCATTTTCTAAAATTCAAAAATTTAAAAATAAAAACTCTTTTTAAAAAATAGAAATGAAAAATGAAAATAGGAAACATTTTCACAAATCAAACAGGCCCTTGGTTTGTACAACCCGTTCTGTTCTGTTCAATCACCGTCTTTGACAAGGGAACCGCGGATTTCAGCCTTTTAGAGAGGAAAATAACGAAGCTAATGGTGAGATTTCGGTGAACGAGGGACATAATTTGTTTATGCAGTTTCTTTTTTTTTTTATTCAGAAGCCCATTTTTATTTAATTTTAAGGTTTTATTTAGAAAAAAATTTTCATTTATTTATTTATTTATTTTTGCATGGTCACAAATTGTTTGCCATGTAAGAATTTCGACTATACATAATAGATTGATTGTTATAAATTTTAACTCATTATCTGTACATATCAAATTGTCTATTAGTTAACTTTAAACTAAAAGGTTGAATCTACTAAATTCTAATAACCTTTGAAAATTGATGTACTAAATTGGGAAAATAATTTTTTATATTTTAAATTGAGAAAAAGAGATCTTTTTTTAATTAAAACAATAGTTTTTTTTAACTAATAATATCATTTTGGTGAACACACTGATACTCTCTCTAAAAAGATCGTATCGGTACAACTTTAACAAATTTTGTCTTTTAATTGTCTCAAAAAACGTGTGAAACAAATTTTTTTTAAATAAATTTATCAATTTTTAAAAAAATTAACAAGAGATAAAAAGTATTATTCTAGTACACTCTTTTTTTAGAGTGTACTTAAGCCTTGCCCTATCATTTTTCTGCTAATCTCATGCTGGTCCCACCTATTCTGTCACCAATCCTTGGCTACATCATCGGTAAATCAAAAGAGCAATTCAACGAGGCAAATCTGTCGTAAAGCCGTTGGGAAATGCACATAAAAAATAGTAAAAAATTGGTGAGGGATCATGTTGTTGCTATTCCATTGCTAACTGCGTTGCAATGTTTTAGCGAGCAAACTATTCGTTGGCATTTTTTGGAATTAGCCATGGAAAGCTTTAATTGCCAATTCATCGCCAATTATGCACCAAAAAAAAAAAAAAAAAGCGAGGGATGGATTCTGTTGCTAAGGTCATCAACAAATCCACCTAAAAATATAAAAGAGTTACCAAGGTCTCGTCAGAAATTAATCCATTGAACTGTATATAGAAGTGTGACAGACTATTTCTATTGACAAGTCATCTTTATATCAACACAAAGATCTATAAAATTAACATGGAAATTACCCGTCAAGAATCTATCACTAATTCTCTCGCTATGTTACAAATGTTGTGTGAAAATTTTGTTTGTCACTGATCCATCCTAGTGGGATTAGCAAGAAAAATTTTTTTCCTTAATATTCTGTCACAAATTTGTGTTAATTTAGTATGAGAAATTTTGCACCCACTATTGTTCATTGCTAGTTGTGTTTTTTCTTGTAGCGCACTTATAAGATATGTCGCCTCATGTTTGCTTAATTCTTTCAACTTAATTTTATTTTACCCTTCCCTCATATGATATTTCTCGTTATACCCTCACTCCCTCTCACTCTTTATCTCTCTCACCATTGCACCATCACCATTGTCACCACCATTTTTATAAGAACAATTATACACCCATTTGTAGGCTATAGCCGAGCTCCCTTTGGAAAAAGAAAACTAATTTTCTCTCATTTAAAAAGTCTTAATTGCTTTTTCTCTCTCTTGAACGTTGTTTCTCATAGCTTAAATCCTTAGATTCACCAAAATTGCCTCAAAATCTCTTTCTTTGTGCTTTGTTGATTCTTTGGCACA